TCGTAATGGATGCACGGAAACTCAGACTACACAGATGACCCCGCACAACAGAGAGCCACTCAGTCCAAACACGCTTCCTGAGCAGGGACCGCACAGCTGTCCCAGGAGCGGAAGGCTGGGCACCCACAGAGCAAGGCCAGCAATCAGGGAGCCGACCTCCCAGCAGGGGAGAGGGAAAACAGACCAGGACCAGCACAGCCCCCGGCAGGCGCCACGGGGCTGGGCGGGCCCAGGGGAGCCGTTCAAAATGTAAACCCACCTTTAAGGTTTGCGAGTTCTTCTCATCAGCGGGTGTTACCGACCCTGCAAGGCTGAGCCCGTGATTTCTACAGTTAATGTATTCTCCTGTCATGGCTACAATTCAGGATCTAAAACTCAAAAGCATTCATTTACGACACCTGCCAATTTGGGCCGATGTCTGTCACTTTACTGTGATGAGGGAAAACATCCAGTAAATACTTGGCATAAACGAGCTTCAGGATGTTGTTTTTATCACACCTGAGCTCAGGCAGGGAAGCCATGTCTTCCAGATTATAGCTGTCATTTCGGCTCGAAAATGCCGTTGTCGGCAATGAGTTCCATTCATTTCAGGGTTTTCCCACGGTTTTCCTTCCTGAGGGCGCGGGAAGCCAGCTCGGCCCCGACCTCAGGTCTCCCGGGTTCCGCTCTGGACCAAAGGGCAGATTGTGACACTGGAAACTAATCGCTTAAAGACACGTCAAATCCCCAGGCTCTCAGACTCTGCTTCTTTATCACTTAAAACTATGGACTTAGAAACTGGATCGATCAGGTTTTGTTTTTAAACACAAATAACAGTTGAAAACGTAAGTGTTCAGACTGCAGAAGATTTAAGAGAAATTATGATCACAATTAGGCTCTTCACATAACTTCAAAACAGATTTTTGGAGCCTAAGGTTTTGCTAACATGAACTCTAGCCTGGTTACAAAATATCTCCCTAAAAGCTGGAAACATCCAAAGAAATCCAGAATCACATAGACCTCAACCTAAAAGATACTGATATGACAGTGAAAATTACTTGCTAAGCCCGTGAGAAGATTAACGACAAAATAATAGATTTTGGCCTTTCAGCAACCAGACAGGGACTGTCCTGACGCTTTAGACAGAAGGCAGCCAGAGATCAGTGGGCTGTCCAGACCACCGCTCACTGGGCTGGGCCTGGGGCTCCATGTCACCCCAAAGTTCTCGTGGTTTCCGACTTCCCTTTCCTCCAACAGAAACCTTCCATGACCCCCAAGGAAATTGGAGAAGGCAGGGCCCTGGCATGGGGGGGGGGCACGGTCTAAGGACTCCTGACACTGAAGAAGCCTGCTGGTCAGCAAGCAGGGCAGGGGGAGGGCTACAGCGAGGGGGAGGGCTGCAGGGGGAGGGGGAGGGAGGGGGCAGGGCACGGGGAAGCTTTTAAACCTCCATGTAAGATTCCTGATGTTCACAAGTTCCAGCACAGCAGACTTCAGAAGCACCGCGATAGTTAACTGCCCTTCCTGCTGCACTTACGTGAATAACCAGAGACTAGGCTTACTGTACGGTCCTGCTGTTCACTGTTGGGACGAACTGGCGGTGATCGTAGAGAAAGGTTGAGTGTCAGTGGAAGCCCTACTGCCCTCCCGGGCGTGTCTGTTTCCAGTCCTGTTCATTGTCTTGAGGTTTCGTTATCCACCTGCAGGCCCGACTGGACCCCCACTCTGGGGCCCTGGGGACCTGGCCACAACTCTCCAGACTCACGTTGCCAATTTTCTTCTTGTAACTGACTATACTTTCAATTAAAGAAAAATCGTAAGAAACTTGAATTCTTATGAGTGGAGAAGCAGAGACTTAAATCTGCGTAACAATCTTTCCTTTGTTCATCTGGCTTTTCCTGGTAGCCAGCTCCCACATCTGGTCTCCACCACAGACACACGCACACACGCACACACGCACGCGCACACACACACACACGCACCTCTTTCTCTGGCCTTGAGCCAAAGGTGGCGTTTAAGTCAGTGCTATTAAGCATCGGCTTGGGCCATCTCCAGAGTTTCACTCAGTTCTCCTGGGTTTCTCCCGAGCATACAACGGAGACACATTTTACTGAACTTCTGTTTGATTCTGTCTTGTCAATCTGTCTTTAATCACAGAGGGTCTCAGCCGAAACCTAGAAGGGCTGCGGGGAAATTACCCTCCCTCCCCAACAGCAGCAGAGCTTGATCTGGGCCTGATGATGTCACACAGGTGTGCGAGGCCTCGGATCCACAGCAGGCCCCGCAGCCCGGACACTGCACAAGACCTAGGATTCGCTGAGCTGTAAGTCCGTTTGTATCCAGTCCTCCCCTGCCACTTGGTGCCAAGTAGCATAGGCAGGTTCGAGCGCAATTTTGTCTACGGTGTTTCCAAAATGATGCCCAATCCTCTTCCTTCTGGCTCCTCCTCTGGACCTCGTTCTCCTGACTTGCCTGGTGCCGCAGAGGGAGGTACAGACAGGATGTGAGGTCGGTGTGGGGCGCCCACCTCCCTCCCCGAGCCTGCCCTGCCCCTGGGCAGGAATCCCCTTCTCTCTACTCCAAGCTCCAGCACAACACAGGGCACAAAGAATGATTTACGAAAGAATGAATGAGGCATTGAACGGGGGGCCACAGGACATTCCACCTGGGGCTTTGGGGTCCTCAGGTAGGTGAAGGGCTCTTGTTAACTTCGTGAGTGGGTCATCCGAGTTCATTTCTTCTTCCCAAAACTTCACTGCAACCCTGGACACAGAGCAAAGGTTGTCCTTGTGTTTGCAATTGTCACAATCGGACACTAGAGGGCAGTGTGGGACCCTGCAGGTGTTGACGGAAGTGTTGCTTCCCTCCCAGAACAGGTGCGCGGCCCTTGGGAGAGGGGGCGGGGGCGGCAGGTCCCCATCCTGCCCTGGATCATTATACCCTGTCAGGGATGCCAGCCTGCAGGTCTCAGCAGAACTGGGCATCATCTGCAATCTATGTCAACATTGCCAAAAGCTGTGTGAGGAGCACAAATTTGCGAACCATAAACCTACACAGGAAAGTGTCCGGTTTGCCTGACTTTTTGTTGGTTTCCTAGTAACATTAGTTATCTCACACCTAGAAGGAATTTTTTTTTAATGTCTCCTTTAAAATGCCCTTGTAGAGGAGCAGAAAACTTAACTTTATTAAATGTATTTTTATTAGACAAAATCTTTCTCATAACAGGTCTACAAGGAAAAACTTAATTTAAAAAGGGTCTTTGGTGGGGGTGATGGGTAGAGCTCAGTGGTAGAGGCAGTGCTTAGCACACATGAGTTCCTGGGTTCAAGCCCCAGTACCTCCAGTAAAAATAAATACAAGGGGAGGATGCAGCTCGGTGGCAAAGTGTGTGCTTAGCATGCGTGAGGTCCTGGGTTCTATCCCCAGTATGGCTATCACAAAATAAAAAATAAAGAAATAAATCTAATTACCTCCCCGCAAAAAGAAAAATAAGTAAATACATAAATAATAGAAATAAATAAAATGAAAGGGATCTTTAATGGTGAAAATGGTTGTGAGTCAATGACTCGGGTAACCACCAAGGAGAGATTCTCAGACAACAGACCTGCAGTGCGTCTGTGGTTTTAAAACATCCCTGTGATTCTGGGGACCGGCCCTGGGGAGAAGTGTTATTTATTACCACGTGCAGCTCTAAGTTCTGTGAACCGAAACAACAAAGCCCCACCCTAGCAGCGCCTCCCCGAGCTGCTGCCCACTGTGGGCTGCTCATCGCCACGTGGATGTGTGACAGTGTGTCACACTTGCTCGTCAGCCCTGCCCCTGCCGACTTCACCCTGACCTCCCAAGCTCGCTGCTCCTCCGTGATTCCCCAACTCAGTTGAAACACTTTCACTCACACCATTTCCAAAGGACGCATCCGGAGATCACTTGGCCCACAGCCGCTCTCCCAGCCCCTCCCATGTCATCAATCTGCTGATCTTTCAAGGGTGTCTCCTGTCCAGCTCCTGAGTCTGGCCTTCCTTTCGTCCGGTTACCCTGGGCTTCTCTCTGCTCAGCTGGGCAGCAGTGGTGACCCCCGGGCTAGGCTTCCAGCTGCAATATTGCCTGTCAAACCCATCGTCCACACTGCAGCTCAAAGTTCTATCAACAGACAGTCATGCCCGTATCATTTTATTGTGTTAAAGGAAAACCTTCCTCAGCTCTGGTCCTTCTGGAGAAAGTCCGGCTCTTCGACTGGTATTTGAGCCCCCATGACCTTGGCCACCGACCGTGTTCTCAGTCAATCTTGAAGCCCACCCTCCTTGAGTTTATAACACTGTCCATCCAGTAGAGTAGCCTCCAGCCACACTTGTCTATTTAAATTTAAATTCTTAAAATGAAATAAAATTCAAAATTCAGTTCTGAGGCCACACTGGCCCTGTTCCGCCTGAGGCCAGGGCTTCGGTGCTGGACAGCGCAGAGCCTAGAACATGCCGTGAAGGCAGACAGCCTCCCGGCCGGCACTGTTCTAGCCTGTCGGGCAGGAGTCTCAGTCGCAGACACGAGAAGCCTTGCTGGCAAGTTTAAACAGAAAAAGAGATTATTATTGAGTATTACGTGCCTTGCAGAACTTGGGGAGAACAGGCCTGGGAGCTTCAGGACAGAGATAATGTTGCGGGAGGCGGTGTCCCCAGAGTGCAGGGCTCTGCCCGGGAAGCACCCCGGCCCTGGCCACCTCCCCACGCTCAGCCTGCCAGGGGCTGCTGGCAGCATCACTGCAGCGGGACACGCCAGGCCTGGAAGGGCGACACCGCTCCACCTGGCTCCCATCTGCCCAGCTCTCACCTAGGCACCTGCTCGGGGAAGCCCAGGTCACCAGGGGATGTCAGAGCTGGAGAAAGATCAGAGCAATGCGGCTTCCCGCCTTCAAGCCCCTGCGGCGCAAGAAAGTCTGTCTGTCCCACCGCCACAGCCGAGCCTCCTCCCCGGGGACTCAGACACCAAAGCCGCGCGGTGGTGGTAACGCGGCACCCAGCACCCACAACAGCTCTTCGTGAGTAACGGGAGCATGCACACCCTCTCCCAGCAGGAAGCCCGGAGCCGGCCCTCCTCGGAGCTCGGGGCTCCCCCTTCCAGGGCAGCCCCGGGGAGAGCCTGCGAGCAAGTCAACACAGACAGCTGAGCGCCGTCAGCTCGCCATACACATGGCAGCAGGGAGACGCGGGAGCAAGGGGAAAGAAAACGCGTTGCGGCAACACCCGGGAGGAAATCATGGGTAGTCGCTGTCACAGGCTGAACTGTGTCCTCCCCCACAGTGACCCGCATCCGGAGTGTCCCGTCCCCCAGGGCCTCAGAGTGGGGTTGTGTCTGGGAACTGGGGCCTTCGCGCAGGCTGTCAAACTAAGATGGGCTTTCGGGATGGGCTCACGTTAGATGTGACTAGTATCTTTATAAAAAGGGGAGGGCTGGATCCAGAGACAGACACACTGAGAGAAGACACAGGAGAGGGCAGCCTTCCACGTGCCACGCCGAGGGCCCCGGGAGAGACCAGCCCTGCCCTCACCTCGGTTTGGATGTCCAGCCTCCAGAGGTGAAGGAGAACCGATGTCTGCCGTCTACCTGGATTGGGGGGCGTTGTCAGCAGAACCCTGGAGGCGATGCTGACTGCCTCCCGGGCCAGCTGCTCCTTCCCCTCCCCTCACTGGACCCCCAGCTGGCTGGGGATCTCTTCACTTTCATCTGGCCCGGCAGCCCCACATCGTGGTGTCGACCTGTCTCCGTCAGTGCTCCCCACCGGGCAAGCTCCACATGGCACACCCTCCCACACACACTGAGCAGGAGCCTTCATCCCTGGCTCATCGGGAGAGGCCACCAGCCACATGGTGACGCCTCTTGGCCTGCAGCTCACAGCCTGATGTCATCTTCAGGCCAGCTCAATGGAGCTGCATTTGTGCCCCTGGGGAAACACTTCCCTCCACCCTCAGAGCACAGACACAGCCAAGACGCGCGGCGCTCCTCGTGGCCCGCTGGGTCACACCAGCACCTGCAGTCCCCACCGTACAGTCCTCGGGACCCAACAGGGAGAGACGACCTAGACCTGCAGGAGCTCCGTGTCCACCGCCTGACCTGGGACTGCACCCCACCCCCACGCTGTGTCCTTCGTCAGGTGGCCCCGCAGCATCCTGACAAGGCATAGTCCTGGCCAATCCTGGAAACACCAGCCACTCGCCCTTTCTTCCTGTCTCGGTCCGCCCCGCTGCTGTGTGGAGCCATCTGGGATGCCCCTTAGGTTCCGCTCACGCTCAGCGGGCTGAGGAGGCCTCCCCGGAGGCCACGCGGGCCAGGGGGCCCAGCCAGGAGAAGCCCGTCGCTCACACGGCTCCTGGCCACTTCTCAGACTAAAGGAGCCTGGTCTGGGGGCTGTTCCCTCTGCCTGGACCCCTTCCCCAGCTGGCTCCTGCTGGGGACTTGGGCCTCCAGGCCTCAGAGAGGCTTATGGGTCCTACGTAGAGGAGCAGCCCGCCTGCCCAGCCCGGTCAGCGTTCTGGTCTATCTCGTCTCCCTGCCTTCTCCCCCCAGCGCTCAGCACAGCCACACATTCACGTATCCTCTCGCTGCCTGCGTCTGCAGCCGGACATGAGCAGAGGCCTCAGCTGTTTGTGCTCGCCTCACCCCCAGGTGCACTACCTGACGTCTCCTGGGCGCCGGCAACGCCTGTGGGGCGGGTGGAGGCTGCCGACGGGCTGGTGGGGCCAGGTGCGGAGCAGTGCAGAGACGAGGGTGGGGGCCCCCGGAAGTCCGAGCTGCGTGCACCTGTTAGAGGAAACCCCACCCCCTGCTCCCCAGCCCACCCCAAAGTCACTGAAAACTTCATTCCAACGCCTGGTGCCCGTGGTGTGTAAATGTAGAATGTACTTATTCACTTTGCACCCAGAAGCCGCAGGTTCAAACTCTGGGTCATTCTGAGCTGCGTGAGGACCAGTCACGTCTCAGGAAGTGAATGTGGGTGAAGCTGGGGTTCTCCCTCCTGGAGAGGAGCCATGTGAGACGCAGGGAACACAGAGGTGCATGGCCCCCACCAGGTCCCCTCCAGGTGGAAACGTCCAGAGTCACTTGTACGGCTGTAGCAGCCAAAGTCCCCTTCAGTTAAATGACCCAAGGACGCTAGGGTCTGCTTGGTCAGCATAGAACTCTGCCAAGCTACATCTCGCCTTTTTAAGCACAGAAAGAGCCCGAGGATAACAGATGAGGACAAACCAAATATTATCTTTCAGACTCGCCGCTTAGAACTGCCACGCAGACCACAGGGCACGGCCCGCGTGGGCGTGTCCGTGAGGTCAAAGCAACAGCTGAACCCAGTCAAACTTTAACCCGCACTTGCGGGTGAGAGGGTTCTGAAGGTTCTGAAGGTTCTGAAGAAGCAGACTCACCTTTGGCTACATTTCCATGTTTCTGAGCAATCTGTGTCTCAGTAGCACCTTCCTAGGGTAAGGCCTTCCGAGATGCCACCACTCTGCTGGCCCTTTTCATCTCTGTCCCGTACCCATTTAGAAGGCGTATAACCGAGGCCTCGTCCGAACCCTTAGACTTCAAGGCCCAGCCCACTGGCTCCGGCTGAGAAGTGGCACCGCTGTGGGAAGCTGGCAGAACTGGCTGCGGGTTATTTAGTTAAAACAAGAAGGAACCTTTACGGTGCATCCAAGGAAACGATCTGTAGCTGACACAGCAGGTGGGGGCCACACGTTGTGACAGGTAAAGCAAATTCATAGCCTTGAACAACATGGAAAGCTGCCAATATTATGTATCCCGAATACACATACATTTTTCAACTGCTTGAAACATCATTTAGGTTAAAAAAAAAAAAGTAAATAACAGACTGATCTAAAACGCACCTAAGCTACCCGAATACGGAACAAGATGTGAAAAGAGTGAGGAGCTGGTTGGTCCACAGCTGAAAGCCACGCCCCCGGCCAACAGCGGACTTCCAAAGTAGGGAGAAACGCCGACACTTCATGGCCTGAAGAGCAGAGCGCATGGAGGGGTGTTGTCTGAGTCTGTTAGTGTGTCAGTTACAGGTGAAAAAAAACGTCTGTCACAGTGGAGGGTGTGCCAGCCACGTAAGCTGAAAATCAGGACTTACGGGAATTTTAAAATAAGACCCTGACGTCTCTCATTGCTTTGTCCATTATGTGATGCAGAATGAAAATCTTTATGTCTGGATTTCTGAGGGAGACACTGTGAAGAGTGTCGTGGATAGTTTGTCTAATGGTTTATTAAACATGCACCAATTCTGTGACTCATCCTTATTCTATCAAACTATCGAGAGAAATAAAAGCCAATGAATGTAATGATGTTTGTCGGTGCTTATTGGAAGAGTTTAAAAAGATCTGCTCTTCCTTTATCTCCAATTCAAACATTTCTAGAAATAGAGGGAAAGTCTGCCAAATAGTCAGTCGTCAAAGCAACACACGACAGCGTGATTTGTGTCTTCTCCCCCACGTCCCACTGCAGGTGAGTGAGACAACCTGAAGCGTAAAAGCTTCATTTAAAAGTTTATGATCTAGCCAGACAGGTGTTAGAGCTTATTTGCAACTGAAAGTTTTGAGCTACAAATCAGTAATGGTGATTTTACGAAGTGTTCTAACGTAAGTGATAGGGAATGTTTGTAAAGGTAATAAACAGTATTACGTAAGTTAACTGCAAAAACCTCCCCGCTGAAGAGATGCTTTTCAGCTTAGTAACTAACCTTTGACTCCGATGTTAACACACCTGAGGAGAAGAGCGGGGGAATTTGCTTAACAGGAACTTTGAATCTGATATGCTTTTCCTTCAAAGTAAGTTCTTCGAGAAAAGTGTGTTAGTTTTGTCAGGATGAACACAAATGTTAAAGGAAATAATTTTTTTCTTTGGGTGCTCGTTTCACGTTTGGAGTTGTTTCACTGTGTTTGGAACAACTTGGGTGTGTGAATATACTTTTTGCAACTGTAAATTCTATGAAATTGAAGTGCAGATCAAGTATTCCCCGTAAAAATGCAGCATCTGAATTGAGGTGAATCATAAGTGTCAAATATACACCTGATTTTAAGAAAGTACAAAAAGAAGAAAATGAAATATTTCAATAATACTTTTATTGATTATATATTGAAATAATATTTTGGATATATTGGGCTAAATAGACTGCTATTAAAATTAACTTCACCTGTTTCTTTTTACATTTTTAATGTGGCTACTAAAAACTCAAAGTTCAGGCTGTGGCTCCTGTTACATTTCTGTTGGGCGCAGCTGACCCAGACTGTCCCCCGCATGGAAGAGGGGAGCTCCGCTGTTCTACTGACCTATTAAGTGTTCCACTTACTGGGGAAGCTGGGTCATGTCCTCATAGGTTCCCTTGACTAGTTCCTCTAACCCTGTTGGTTCCTGGGAACTGAAGGATAGACCCGCAGCCTGGATGCATTCAGATTCAAGATGTGGGGTGGACACACGACAGGCGCTGCCGACTGGCTGTTGCCTCCTGCCCTCGGGATGCGGGACGCAGGATGCAGGACGTGTTTAGCATCCATGGTTATGCTGAGTGGCTTTAGCAGCCTGCCTCGTTGTAAATTTGCATTTCCCCTTTTAGACCAGCAAATCGCCCCCAGGACAACACTGCTGCCCTTTGAAGACCCAGTTCCCACTCCTTTACTGAATAGGTTAGCATCCTTGATTTTTGTCTGAATCAGTATTTCACTGGGGATTACAAACTGGTGTTTTAATCCTGCCATTCCTTTGTATTTATTACCTGGACTTATTCTGGAAAGGAGAGCTTTCCTTCACCACTAGGTCTGAAATAGTTCAGACAGACAAATGCTTCTTTCCTTTTAAATCCCAAATGACTTAGTGCACTGATTACAACAACAGATTTTCCGGACTTCTGTTGGCTTTTCTATGTGTCTTTTTAAAGATTTTTTTCTGTTAAGATTTTATAAAAAAAAAACTTTATTGGGATATAATTCACATATCATAAAGTTCCGCCCTTTAAAGTGCACAATTCAATGGTTTATACCATGGTCACAGTTGTGCAGTCAGCCCTAGGCAGCCACCAGTCAGCTCACCGTCTCTGTGGCTATGCCTGCCCTGGGTGCTTCACAGAAGAGGAATCACAGGACACGTGGGCCTCTGTGTCTGGCTTCTTTTACTTTAGCATAGTGTTTGCAAGCTCCGTCCTTGTTGAAAGTCCAAATTACATTCATCTACTCACCAGTCAGTTCGACACTTGGGTTGTCTTCACTTTTTCCCTGTTATTTCTGATGCTGCTCTGAGCGTTGGTATACAGGTTTTTGTGAGGACCTATGCTGTTGTCATTCCTCTCGGGCGTATGCCTAGCAGTGGGATTGCTGAGCCATGTGACAGCTGTGTTTAATCATTTGATAAACTGCTAGACTGTCTTCCAGAGGAGATGCACCATCTTCCACCCCTACCAGTGTGCACGAGGGGTCCTGCTCGTCTACATCCTCACTGGCACTTGTTTCCTGTTTTGGTTTTTTTTTGTAGCTATTCTGGAGAGTCTGAAGGGGTATCTCCTTATGGTTTTGATGATCATTTCCTCGATTGCTAATGATGTTGAGCATCTTTTCATGTGTTTGTTGGCCATTTGTACATTTTCTTTGGAGAAATGTCTATTCAAATCTTTGCTTGTTATTTAATGGGGTTATTTGTCTTTGCATTAGTGTAAAAGCTGTAAAAGTTCTTTAAATATTTTAGATGCAAGTCCCTTATCAGATTTATGATTCTGTGGTCTTTCTTGCCGTCTTCATTTCCCCCGAGGATCATGACCTCACAGAATGCACATTTCCATCATCTGTCATCACCATCCTTTTGATACTCGGATTGTCCTGTGTGTAGCCAGTGGGACCCACCCCGTCACCCCCAAGGATGGCTTCCTGTCCTGCCCGCACAGCCCCTATTGTCTTCAAGAGCATCCTCACAAAGGTAGAATTTCGTTCAGTGTCAGAAGGAAATGAGAGAGGGCTTTCCAGACTCCTGCAAGCACAACCCCAGAGCCCGTCCCGCACCACTCGGGGCCAGCTCTGCCCGCAGGAGCAGAGAAGGCTGAGAAGGAGGCTGGATCCCAGCACCGGCTAAGTCCGTGTCAGAGATGGAGCTACTGAGTCTGTTGACCTGGCTTCCCCCAACCTGGTTTTCAGCACACGTGGAACCAAGTGATCATGCAGGAGAAGCAGAGACAAGGACCCAGAGAGTCCTGAGCCCTCTGACTGTCCTCCAAGGACAGAAATCCACACAGACTCTGCCTCCGTCCTCCACGAGAGCAGACAGTGCTCACAGGATTGACGGGTGGCACAAGGTACGTGCTCTCCCTAATTCAAAAACAAAGACAAACAACTGAGCAGCAGGAGAAAGGGGGCCGACAGGAGCCCGGGACCAAGCTGTCCCTAGAGACACAGGGACGGAGTGGATGTTTACACGCCAAGGGGACGCAGGGACGGGGAAATCGACCACTGACAGTGTCAGACCTTTCACAGACATCATTCCTTTTAATTCTCACAAAAACTCAGCAAAGTGTAAGATGTGATATTTATTATTTTCACTTTATAGATTAAAAAACTGAGGCCTGGGGAGTCCGAGTAGATTGCTGCATGCAGGCAGCTAAAAAGTGGGGAAGGTCTGAGTTCCTCACCGAGCACCTCAGCTCAGAGGGTTGGAAGGAGGGGCTCCCGGCCACTGGAACTCCCAGACAGACAGTCCAGTAAGATGCTCCTTCTGAAAAGCCTCTGTGGTGAAGGAAGTTTGGGGAGTTCCATGGACATTAAGCTTCGTTTAGGCTCTCACCCTTCACAGGAGCTTAGTGAAGGCTCTTAGAAAAGCTGAAGAAAAACATAACCTTGTCTGATTCAAATAAGTTTTCTAATACATTTGACCAAGAAAACATTCTTGGCCATTTCCCCCCAGAAACTCCGGAGGACACAGGGTTGGGGAAGTTTCTCCCGATGCCCAGCAGCCAGCCATCTGTGGGTGACAGTCTGGTACCCTCTCACCTGTCACTTTTCAATGGGTAGGTTAGTGTCTGCTGATAATTATGGCCTTAATCATACATTTCAACAGGGAGGGCAAAACAGTGACGTCTCTAGTTCCTATATTCCTTCTCCGTTTATTCACTAGGAAATTACTGAATTGCAAAGCGGAGTGAAGGTTCTGTCAATGAAAGATACTGCAGCCGTATCAGTAAACAAAGGCTGCTGCGGCCATCAAATCATCAGCCACTACTGTCCCGACCCTAACCGCGAGCGGAGGGAACTCAGGATGCAGACAAGCGGGCAGCCCAGGCTCTGAAGCGACCCTGACGGTGCCCCCTGAGGGGACTCAGGATGGGAAAGAACAGGACACTGGTCTAGAGTGGCTCCTTGAATAAAACAAAACCACTTCTGCCCCCGCTCGCCCTGTGAGAATGGCTCCTGGATTGAATCATGGTTAAGGTTTGTCCCCTAATATTTTCCTTCCTTCTGGAGTAGTGGTTCTAAAACTTGAGCTATCAGGAGAATCAACCGCAAATTCCTAGACCCCCAGCCTCAGAGCTGGGGGGTCTAGAGAGCTTCGTTGTTAAGGAGCCGGTAAGTGGTTCTGAGGCAGGTGGTCAGGGACGACGCTTGCAGAAACGGTGCTGAGGGCACCTGCCCCAATTACTGTCCTCACCTCTCGGAAGACTGGGTTTTCCTGTTCAGGCCTCAGTGGGGCCTTTGAGCTTTCTGTTGGTTCCCCACTGTGTGGAGGAGTGTGAGCTGGAGTATTTAAGTAAAGGAATACACTGGCCAAAGGAACATATTAATGTCCTACTAAGTAGCGAACCTGGGATCTGAACCCTGTTCTCTTACTTTGAGAACCATACTTTCTCCACTATTTCAAATGTTGCGACCAAGAGGACTTCTTTCAGGGGAATGCATCCCTGCTACTTTAAATGTGGAGCAGGCAGTATGGTCCAAAGGGGTTCATGGTTCAAGCCTGAACCATGATTCAATCCCTTCTCACAGGGCAGGCGGGCGCAGAAGTGGTTTGGTTTTATTCAAGAAGCCGCTCAGTTTCCTTACACTCACCTTCTGGGTTGATATGAGAAGAAATTATGTTTGAAAAGTGCCTAGTGGTCAACAGCGGTAGCTATTAATAGGAATACGATGAATGATCAAGACCTCTTTGCTTCTCTTAGGTCACAGTCCTACCTCCGCCATGAAGCTCCAGTGGAATATAATGACCTTCCTGGTGTCACTATGAGGTTGCAGTGCTGTGTACTGAGATGTGCTTTCACAGATGACCAAGGTCAGATGTGACTCATAGACATCCTAACAGAAAATAAATCTGATTCAATGAAACGACTGCTATTTGAATTCTCAAAGGCATTTCTTTTCTTCTTTCACAGTATTTATTTTGAATGGCTAGCATATGCTCATTGTACAAGCTTCAAAAGGAAGAGTATACAGTGAAGAGTTTCCCTCCGTCCCTCAGCCTCTAAGCCATCCTTAGAGGCAGCCACTGCTAACATTTCTCCTTTATCTCTGGAAACATGAAATGATATACTCTCTCTGTCCCTGTGCACAAACACTAGCATACTTTACACACAGTTCTGTACCTTGACTCTTTTGTCTTATAAATCTTAAAAGCTCTATCCATATTAGCACATACAGCTCCCTTATTCTTGTAAGCTGTCCTATGGTATTGGATGGAATGGATGCCCCATGATTTATTTAGCTCTCTTCCTTTGGTGGATATGTAAATCATTTTCAAAAATAATGGTGTTTACATTCCAACGGACTTCCCTGCCAGCGATGCCTGAGGGCTCCCGTCCCCTACTCTCACCCAGAACAGTTTAAATGACTCAGCCGGCTACATTTTTGGCCGGTATAAAACGTTTGCAGTAGACAAAAACCAAACAAAACCCTGAACATAAGGAACCTCCCACGTCTCCCTCTCCCACCCGCTGCGCCCCGCACGTGGCGCTGCGGCACCCGCGCTCCTCCGGAGCTAGCGGTCCCGCTCGCCGGCACTGGCAGCTGCGTCTGGGGAAGAGCCCTCTCGCCGCCCTACTGCGCTCCTCCCGGCGCCCACCTCGTCTGGAGCCTGCGGGCCCCGGGCGGCTGCGCGGGGATTCGCGGGCGCTGCAAAGGCCCACGGGGATGCGGGCCGCGTGCCCTTGGGGGCGACAGGGAGAGACCCGCGCGCCCCGGGACTGTCACTTGCACGCCCGG